AGTCCACACTCCCTCAATATCCGCTCATATGTTCAAGAAACATTCAAATTAATGAAATGTATTTGTTTTCTTAGAAGAGAATGCCAGGGACCATCTTCATGACCATAAGATAAACAGACTTTCTAAGGAGAACTCAACAAGAACTAATCATCAATGGGGGGAAATCAAGAAATGGGACCACACTGAAAGGAATAATTTGTTTCTCAGCGCTGATATGAGGTGAAACCGCAAACTGCAGGCTGAAAATACCTCCTCCTTTCTCAATAGATACATAGTTACAGGTGGTTCCCACACTGTGAATGCATACAGCATTCAAAGGGTGTGTATCAAGACCATAAAAACTTACAAGCCAGTAAGGGAAAGGCAGACAGTTTAAATTTAAATGGCCTAGGTCTTAAAAAAACCAAACCTCACAGAACAAAATACCCAAATGGCCAATAATCACATGAAAAGATGTTCAAGTTCATCAGGGAAAGTCAGATTAAAACAGTTATTACCACACATGCACTGACTGGATACAAAGAAAACAGACAATACAAAAAAGGCTGATGCTAGGGACCACCCTGAATGCTCACACATTTCTGTGAGATCATTACCTGGTGAGACAACCACTTCGGACAGCAGGCTGTATCTAACAAGCCAGACATTTGCCAGATCTACCACTTACTCTTTCTACTCCTAGGTACACACCTACAGAAATGCACACAAATTCCCTAAACCAGCAGAGTGCTTCTGAGAAGCAAGGACAGGGAGAATCCATTTCACTTCATTTGGGTATTTTATCAGCAGGGACCAATACCTTAGAGAAACATAACATGTTTGGCAAGACAGAGGGTCATCAAAAAGGGGAGATTTTATTTTCTTTTGTTTTTCTTTTATCATTTTTTATGTGATCATCAAATTGGATCTGACTGGTACAGAAGGAGATTGCCCCTCCTTCTCCAGCAGAGCATCTGGTGGATTTGAACCGCATACCTCTGGGATTGCAATGCAGCTTCTTGCCACTGGGCCACCAGAGCTCCCTTGGGGGGGGGGGCAATTCTTAACCACATGGAGAAGCACAATAGCAACAGGCTTACAAACAGCAACAATGTGAGGGTGGATCAGAAATGGGCAATGCTTTCCTTTTTTTTTGGCTCCCAATTCTATTAGTCTCTCTTTATTCTCTTGGTAATCTCTTCCAAAGTTAACCACTTGCATTTGTGGTGATGAAATGTGTTAAGGATTCACTTTGAATGCTGGCACTGCTACAAATTCCTCAGAATTTAGATTTGATTCTTGTGGCTATATTCCAGTCCCAGGTCATCTGAAGACAGTCTCTGACTGGGCAATGCTTTCCTGTGTGGTTATATGTGGGGTCACTGTGAACTGAGCCAGCACGACAGCACCTAACAACAACAGTACGAAAGTCCATGGCCGCATAATCCATAAAAGCCCCTAACCGGGCAATGCCAAATAGCAACCTACCATCTACTGAAATGAAGACACAATGGATGTATTCACACAAGAGCAGGGAGAAGGAACGCCTCACAGCTACACACAGCAGCCTGGATGGACCTCACAGATCACACACATGACACACCAGGCTCACTACCTCTGATACACTTGAAATTTTAACTAGTAAAGTATCCACCCTGGTTTGAGGAGGATTAGGGGATTTAAGTTTACACCTCCAAGTTCTTACAAGTGAGAGCATCCCGTGGTTCACATAGCGCACACACAGCCCTGGCTATACCTCATCTTTTCATAAATATACTCTCCCCAAGAGCCTCATGTCCATAAATGTCACCTCATCCTCCCTGTCTCTAAGGCCTACGACTTGGAAGTCATCCTACACCTTCCCTTCGTATCTTCCTGTCTACTGAAGGCTCTCAGATCACAGCTCCATGTTGACACCAGAATCTAAAGCATCTCCCAACTCTGTCCTTTCCCTCCACCTCCCAGCTTCAGGCCCAGCCCCCAGCACATCTTGCTGAGACTATTATAATCACCCTCCAGCTGGTCTCCCTGTTTCCACGCTCATTCTTCACCTCCACCCTCACCAACCCAAAGGCAAGGGGTCAGTGAACCATGTTACTCTTCAGCCCGAAACCCAGCCTACACCGTTTGAAGTTCTACAGAAGCTGATCCACAGGCCTGCCCTCTGATGCACCCCTACGTGGGCTCGAACTACCTACTTGCCAGTTAGCGGTTGAGTGCTTGCCCCGTGTGTCCCGCAAGGACACCTTTGGCACAGAGTTGTTAATTGAGTCCTGGTGGTACCGTGGGTTAGCACTTGGCTACTAGTAAAAAGACAAAGACGTGGCACTCGGATTCCATCGGACTGTTGTCTGCTGTATCTGTGGACACGTCCCCTCTTCTCACTGCGAGTCCTGTGGACACTATGGCAATGGCTTTGCTTGATGTTGTTAGCCTGCAAGTCATTCCCCCCCGGTGTGCAAAGCAGAAGGGCTCCTGAGAGCTTCCAGAGCTGTACCATTTCGGAATCAGACCATCTCAATGCTCAGTAAATCAGCCATGGAATCCCTGCATGAACAAATAAACATGTTTTCAAGTTGTCTGTCTCCTCTCTGGTTACTGATCTCCATCTCCCTTTAAGACCCTTTAGCAAAGTAAGAAGTATACATACAGCCTCAGAGTCATCACAAACCTCTTCCCGATCACTAATGGACCTCAAGCCACGGTTCCGAAAACACGGATGTGGGGGCTACACCACGGCACTGAAGTATTAAGCATTAGAATGGGACCACGCTCCGGAGTCGGTGGTAGAACTGGAAAGCAGTCAGTCTACTGTGGTAAGACCAGACTCTGCAGGCAGCCGTAAATCACAGTGACCTCAGTAAGGATGAGCCCTCACTTACTTACCCACGCTCTCGGCTCTGCACACAGCACCCCGTTCGCCCCTGCGGCCTCAAATCACACACGAGGAGAAGGATTTTGTCTTTTCTCAATCTTGTCTCTAATCTAAACATCCCAATGCATTTAATTATCATGCAGAAGCATGAGTGACTCCAATTCCTCCTAAATCCACCCTGAAGTACAAATCCTTTAATATACAGTGTAGGTAAAACACTGTCTCCAAGCAAGTAAAATAACTATAATCCACAGCAAAAGCCAAAGCATCATAAGCTACTTGAGGAAAAAGCACTAAAAGTGACTGTGCAACTCAGCAACAAAATGCTGTCAGACAGGGCACCTGAGGTGTCATCAACAGACATAATTACTAAGAACTAAATTCTGATTAGGGAGTGCTGCTGGACTGGGGGTAAGGAGTGGCGCTGCCAGCTAGAAGGCAGGTGGTTCGAATCCACCAGCTGCTCTGAGGGAGTAAAGTAGGCAGTCCACCTCCTGCATAATCCACAACTCAGAAAACCTGTTCAAGGGTCCTTTGTGAATGGGTTCCAGTTGAGTCATCTCAACTCTCACCTTGCGCACTCTCTTTCAGCCTTCAAGAATCAAAAGGGAAAGGGGAGAGGCCAAGAGGAGGCAAGGGGTTATTCTGAGACATGAAAGGAGCCAAAAGTTAAAGTGCAACTTCAATTAACACAGTAACACAGATCACCAAGGAAACCCGGAGTCCTGGGGGAAAGTCCTGCATTGTCCAGAAACCACCTAATGTCCTTACTTCGGAAGTCATCTGCCTTGGCAAGTTTAGGCATGACATCCAGCTGCCATATAATGGTTGAGATGCCCAATGTGAACATTTCAAAACAAGCCAGATAAAGAGGTGACAAGATAGTGTTGATTGTTGTTGACTGACGTTTGAGTCGAGCACGACTCATAGCGACCTTATGAACGAAAGACCTGAAGCCTTTCTACAACTATCTTTTCCCAAAGTTCATCGTTTCCAGAGGCATGCTGTTTAGGAAGTGGATACCACACCTGCTTCCAAGAGAAGGTAGTAAGCCGATTTAACCAACAGAAATGAGCAAGCCCTCCCTGTCACTCTATCCAGAACAATTCAAATAACACAGCTCAGTCACAGTTTCAAGTCCATTAAGATCCATGAACTGTATTACAGGTGGAACCAAAGACTCTCTTCCCGAAAAGCCCCGCTCTAGCTGCACAGACAAATCCGATTTTCTACTGATTGCTGTCTGGTGGCTTAGAGGGTAAGCACCTGTGCTGCCAAACGCAGGTGATTCGAATCCACCAGCTGCTCCCAGAGAAAAAGATGAGACCAATCTCCTCTCGAGCTACTTACAGCGCCTGAAAACCCGCCAGAGAGTGAGCGGGAAAGCAAAGCAAAAAAATTCTAGGGTACTTCTCCATCCACTTTATAAAAGTACACGCAAGGCTACCACCCAACCCCCAGTGTTTAGAGGATGTCCCTTGACATCTTAGTCCTCCCAGGTGTCCACGTTCCCAACCAGAGGGGACAGAGCAGAACACTTCAAAATGCACCAGAAGGTGGGGAAAGAACAAATGAGAATAATGTAGGAAAAAAACTATCCATTCCAAAAGGGGAGAGAAGGCCAACCAAAAACTCCACGAAACTTCCTTCGCCAGGATCAGAGAGGTTCCTAAAGCCAACTGGGGTTGGCCGACCTGCTTGTGCCAGGACATGATGAGGTTGAGGGGGTGACAAGGACTGTGTTCAAGTTTTAATTACCAAAGTTTCAAATGAATATACTGATATGAGAACTGATGTGAAATGCTTTTGTTAATGCTCTTGCAGCCGGCCCCCTGGGCCTCGCTTTCCCAGCCTTTCCCTACGGGTGCGGGAAGCCACTGGCAGCCAAGGCACGGGGACCACGAGCTCACCCACCACTCCACACCCAGCAGGTGCCCGACACCTGGGGTTCTCTCCTCTCTCTGCCACCGTAGCGAGGTTCTGGGGTGGGGTTACAGCACTCCAAGTCCGAGCACCCCACGGCGACAGGAGCAGGGAGGGACTCGGGAAGGGCACGGCGCGGGAGGCACGGCGCTGGCAGCCTCGCGCGCGCGCACACACGCGCACACGGCAAGCGGGGCGCGGTGGCGCGGCGGTGGCGCGTTACCTGTTCTGCCAGCCCTGGAGGAGGTTGGTGTACTTGCTGAGCACGCCCTCGAGCGCCGGCTCCCTCCGGCGGCCGCCTCCCCCGGACGGGCTAGCGGCCACGGAGCCCGGGCTGCTGCGGCTGCCTCCGCCACCCAGGCCGGCAGCCGGCGAGCGGCTGGAGACCCCCCGGGCCGCCAGCGAGCAGGAGGGTGACGAGCCAGCCGAGGTGGCGCGGCTGCTGCTGCGGCTGCTGCTGTTGCTGCCGCCGCCGTCCGCGCCCGGGCCCGTCCGCTCCATGGTCCGTGCGCGCCCTGGGCGCGGGTGCCCGCGGTGGCGGCCCCGGCGCTAGGGCAAGCGGTGCGGCCGCTCCGGCTACGGCTCAGGCTCCCGGGAAACGCCTGACTCATACAGGAGGACGAGGAGGCGGTGGCGAAGGCGCGCGGGGAGGGACGCGGGCCGGGCTGGATGCCGCGCGGCCGCCCCTCCTCCGCCGGCCCGCCCCGCCCTCCGCACGAGTCGGCCGGGCAAGTTCCGAGCAGCTGGCCTCGCGTGCCCGGCCGGGTCCCTCCTCTCCTGCCCTCCAGTCCCCGCGCCCCCGAGCCCCGGGGCTAGGGGCGTTCACCCGCCGGCCGGGCACGCCCTCGCCGAGCGCAGGCCACCCTGCGCGTGCCCGGCGCCGCCCTCCCCGGGAACCGCAGGGGCGCAGAGGGGCCCTCGGCGCGCCACCCCCACCTCCACCCACCGCGGGACCTGGAGGGAGGGGCGGCCGGGCCACCCGGATATGGACCCGCCCGCCCCGACCCGGGCGCACGGCTCGCTCGCTCGCGCGCTCTTCCGCACACGAGCATGGCCAGACACACGTACACAGCAACCTGGAGATTAGCCTCCAGGCAGAGCCGAGTGCGGGGCAGGGAAGCCCTCGGCTTCTCTTGCGTGTAGGTCGAGGGATAGGAAGGGCGGGCGATGGTCACAGGTAAACTCGCCCCGAGCATTTTCACTCCTGAAACCAGTGGTCAACGCTAAAGGAGACCAGGGCCCGGACTCTCAGCCTCGCTCTAATGCTTCCTTCAATTGTGCGTCCCAGGCACCTTACTTGTCTCGCCCCAGCCTGGGCCTGGGTCGACAGACATGAACTTGGCGAATCAAACTCCCCCACTGCTATGCAAACTGCACCATCTACCTGGCAGGCTGTCGAAACCGACAAGGCTGCATCACCACAGATTCCATACAAATGGAATGAAGAGTTAATCTGACCCGCAAGATAACACGGACCTTCAACCAAGTTTCTCAGTCAAAATGACTGCGCTTTGCCAAAAACAAACCAGATGTAGCCTTTCTCTCCACCCCTGTTAATATCCTTGGTGGACATCAATGCCATCTGTAAATTTCTAAAACTCTCATTAAAATTAGATTTGAGGAACTCAGCCGCCTCTCTCCTCTCCCCCAAAAGCAGAAAGAAAACAAAAATAAAACCCGAAGGGAGATAGGATTCTCACCCAAAAGATTTACAGCATTATCGAGTTGATAAATAATGCAGCCGTGAAAAAAAAAGAAAAAAAAAAAAAACCCTAAGTGGAAAGAAACAAGCTCTCAAGAGGGCAGTTCCCCGGGCCTGGTCCTTTTTACGGCTTTCTATCCTAGGAAATTTTCAAAACCATTTTGGTTCCGGATACATGAGTGGAAAAACCTCTGAGGCTGGGAAAGAGTTGCCTTGTCCCCAAATACAATTCCAGGTGTTTGTACACACAGAGACACAAACAGTTCTCCAAAGCAGATTGCGTGGTGGTTGTCACTGCTGTTAGGTGCCTCTTGGTAGACTACGACTCATAGTGGCCTTGTGAACTGCAGAGCTGAACCTTGCCCTACCCTGTGCCATGCTCGTGACCTCTGAAACACTCAGACCCACTGTTACAGTCACTGTCAATCCGTCTTGTTGCAGGTCTTCCTCTCTTTCTCTGACCCTCCGGCTTCCCCAGCATGATGTCTTTTCCCAAGCACTGGTCCCTCCTGATGACATGCCCAAAGTATATGAGGAAGTATATCATGAAGTTTCACCGTCCTTGCCTCCAAGGAGCCCTTGGTTACACTTCCTCCAAAACAGACTTGTTTATTATTCTGACAGTCCATGTCATAACTCAGTACTCCAACATGCTCAGAAGCATCGATTCTTCTTAGGTCATCATTATTCACTGCCCATCTTTCAGATACATAGGAAGCAACAAAGTACTATGGCTTGCATCAGATGCACCTTAGTCTTTAAAATGACATCATTACCCTTCAGGAACCTTGAGACTGTTGGCCCTTAGTCAGCTCCAGGACTCAATTTTCATCCAACAATAAACAGGTTTATAAGGTGAACAATAACAATAGAAAGATAAAAACAATATCAGAACAATCAACCATGTATGATCAAAAGGGTATTTGCACAAAAGACAAGGTTCAGAAGTTAGGAAGAAGTAGCAAATGAAGAGGCCTGAAGCAGGACAGGACTCACAGAAGCGGAATGAATGTCACACTGTAGAGACTGCAATCAATGGCATGTGGGAATTGCTGACTGAAAAGCTTATTTGCTCTACAGAATGTCACCCAAATCACAACTAAAAAGCTTAAAAATATGTAAAAAAATAAAAGTCATTGTCTTAGCTATTTAGTTCTAACATAATGGAGATACCTCCAGTGGATGGTGTTAACAAACAGAAATTAATTCTCTCACAATTCCAGAAGCCAGTAGTCCAAAGCCAAGGTGCCAGGTCTAGAGGAAAGCTTTCCCTCCCTATGTCTCCTGGTTCTAGAAGTTTCTTGGGGCAGGAACCTGGGTCCAAAGGGCATACTCTTCTTACTTGGTGTGACTTGAGTTCCCCCATGTCTGGTCACTTCCTTCTCCTTTTATCTCTTGTAAGACCAAACATGATGCAAGCCCCACCCCTGGGAGACTCCCCTCACAGCCTTAGAGGTGTGACCTGAATGAAGATTTGCAACCCACCCTAATCCCTTATAGGTATCATCTGATCACGTGGGGGGGTGAAGAAGGAGGATTACACCATTACACAACTGCTTCTAACTCCACCTTATTCATATCAGAGAAACTGGAGGCAAGAGTTTTGAGAATATGTCTCAAATACTTGGGTAATGAAAGAACTATTTATTTTTCAAAGAGAAAAGCAAACTGGGGGAGGGGTTGGCAGGGAGAAAAGTGTGTAACAATGAATGAATGGAAATCCAAAGCCTCTGTAAACTCTTATTAAAATTTAAAAAAATGCTTTTGGCTTGATATCAGAAGGGACTAGTCCTCAGAGAAGGACATCATGCTTTGAAAGGTGGAGGGTCCACACAACAGAGGAAGACCCTTGGAGATGAATTGACACAGGATGAACATGAACCTAACAGAGACTGTAACAATGACGATGACCAGAGTAGGACAAAGTTCTTATCTGACCACAGGTCCCTGTGAGTCATAGTTGACTTGACAGCAATAACAACAATAACATATGCACATTGAGGAGCCCTGGTGGCTCAGTGCCTAAAGATTCAGCTCTCAACTGAATGGTCAGCGGTTCGAACCCACCAGCAGCAGCTCTGCAGCAAAGACCTGGTTCCCGTAAAGATTGTTATTGCTGTTGTTACGTCTGCTGAGTCACTTCTGACTCAGTGACTCTCGATCCAGCAGAACCCACACTGTACGTGGTCCTCCACCTGTTTCATAAACATTGCTGTTTGAACCCATTGTGCAGCACTGTATTGATCCATCACTTGGAGGGTCTCCTCTTCCCCTCAGTCCTCTGCTTTACCATATTCTTCTCCAGGAACTGCTCCCTCCTGATTGCTGTCGTTGTTGATTGCCGTTGAGCACAACTCATAGCGACTCTGAACAAAAGACCTAATGCCTTTCTATAGCTGTCATTGTTTCTCCAAGTTCATAGAGTTTCCAGAGGAAGTGGATGCCACTCCTGCTTCCAAAGCTGTTTTACAACTGGAAGCTCCACCAAACACTGTCCACACTGGGAAACCATTATGGCATTTGACACCCCAATGGCACAAGGTTCAGCATCACAGCAAACCCAGATTATCTCAGCATAGCAAAATGACTAAGAGTGATGTACGAAGAAGAATGTTCCTCCAAAATATAACACTAGTCTCACCTAGCAGTTGTTAAGTGTCCTCAAGTTGAATAAGACTCATAGCAACCCTATGAACAAAAGAGCTGACGTCTATTCTATATTTAACATTATTTCTTTATGTGTGTAGAGTTTATAGAGTTTCCAGAGGCATCTGGTTTAGGAAGTGGATGTCACTCCTGCTTCCAAATTTGAATCAATCTAGAAACTCCTCCAAACACTGTCAATGATGGACAATCATTATGGTATTTGACACATCTATGGCACAGTGTTCAGCATCACAGCAACTCCAAGTTATTCAGTACAGCAGATAGACAAACAGCTGCTGTACCACTTCAAGAATGTTCATCCTAACGTTAATAAATTTGGTCCAAGGGCTGAAACAAACCCAACACACACCCAAACTTTCCTTCTGTGACCCTCATCAGGACATGAGAAACCAACTTGAGTGGAAGCCCTGCACAGGAGCCTCCAGGCCAGCCGCAGACTTAACCCATCACTCCCCTCCCAATAACTTATCCAGTACCTCACCACCCTGGCATCTAAGAAGTATTTTAGCTGTCCTTGTTCCAAGATAAATGTGTCCATTCTGTGGCGGTCCATGGTTTGTTCAGTACTCTTTGCTAACTGCATAATTCATAGGCATCAATTTTTCTTTAGCCTTCCTCATCCATTTTGCATGCATTTGAGGCAATTAAAAACCCATGGCCTGGTTTAGGCACATCTCAGTCCTCATAGCGACATTTTCAGTTTTGCAACACCCCAAGAGGGCCTTTGCAGTGAATTTACCCAGAGCAGTATATCATCTTATTTTTTGACTGATAATTCTGTGGGGCACTGATGAATGAATAAAAATAGTAGCTAAAAAATCAAACTATCGCAAAACCAAAGAAGATATATCTCTCTCATTGCCATCAGGTTGGAACTGACTCAGAGCTGACCCTCTGGTGGGTTTTCCAAAGCTATAAATCATGTGGGAAGAGATTGCCTATCTTTCTCTTGAGGAGCTGCTGGTGGATTTGAACTAACAGAGGGAGGTTCAGCCTTAGGTTAGCAGCAAACATTCTTTGTTTTAATTTTATTTTATTATTTTGTGCGTGTGTGTGTACCGTCAAATCAGATCTGACTGGTACAGGAGGAGATCGCCCCTCCTTCTCCAGCAGAGCATCTGGTGGATTTGAACCGCATACCTCTGGGATTGCAGTGCAGTTTCTTGCCACTAGGCCACCAGAGCTCCCTAAAAGCGAACATTTTTGTGGACGATGCCTC